GGAGATGTGTGGAGGGTCTCGGGAGGGGGAGACGTGCGGAGGGTCTCGGGAGGGGGAGACGTGCGGGGTGTCTCAGGGGGAGATGTGCCGTGTAGTTCCCAAGAAGGCTGCCGCGAGGTCCGCAGCGGGACCTAAGGCAGCTGCTTAATTCGCATGAATTAAAGCATTTGCGCATGTACAAGCACTCGTGATATGGATACCGGTATGGGTGCATCACTACTAAAAAAAATATATAACCCGCATGCATACATCGCCTAGAATACGTCATGTGACTAATATGTCTTCTGTACATAGTCATGTTGGGTCTGGAACTGATTGGTATTCTCTTATACATCTCTGTACACACTGGACATTGCCGGCGCTCAGACACAGCTGTAACAATGGAAGTTCTATGAAAGGGTTTTACACCCCCAGCAGCCCATTGGTATGAGAGTATAGACCCTGCCCCCCCAGTATGTGTATTCATCCAGATTATATATGATGGGGGATGGGTGGACTTTATAATTTTCTGCATCATCTTTTTGCTTTGTTTTTCCTTCTTTTGCTCTCATTGTATAAATAAAGATTTTGTTGTTTTTCATTCTTTCAATCTTCCCGGAGATATGGTCTGTGTGTGACAATAAAGAAATCGTTCCTATCACAGAAATACAGGAAGTCATATGGAGCTCATATCCCCGACGGCACTACCTCCCGAGCGGAGAACCACGGGGTCTGGCCGGAGGGTTGGGGGGCGGCAGAAGCCCGTGGTGTTGTGTCCCTCTGAGGTGCTCAGAAAGTCACTTGGGTGTGGGACCCCACATGACTCACTGTGCACATGGACACACACCACCTTGCATATTCTGCACTTCGCCTCTTAGACAGGCCTTATGGCTTGTGTGGCTGGAGTCTGAGCACCCTTCCCGGTGATGGGGGAGAAGAGCCCCTGTACCGGCCTTCTGGCTTGAATCTGAGTACCCTTCCTGGTGATGGGGGAGAAGAGCCGCTGTACCGGCCTTATGGCTTGTGTGGCTGGAGTCTGAGTCCCCTTCCCGGTGATGGGGGAAAGGAGCCGCTGTACTGGCCTTATGGCTTGTGTGGCTGGCGTCTGAGCACCCTTCCCGGTGATGGGGGAGAAGAGCCCCTGTACCGGCCTTCTGGCTTGAATCTGAGTACCCTTCCTGGTGATGGGGGAGAAGAGCCGCTGTACCGGCCTTATGGCTTGTGTGGCTGGAGTCTGAGTCCCCTTCCCGGTGATGGGGGAAAGGAGCCGCTGTACTGGCCTTATGGCTTGTGTGGCTGGCGTCTGAGCACCCTTCCCGGTGATGGGGGAGAAGAGCCCCTGTACCGGCCTTCTGGCTTGAATCTGAGTACCCTTCCTGGTGATGGGGGAGAAGAGCCGCTGTACCGGCCTTATGGCTTGTGTGGCTGGAGTCTGAGTCCCCTTCCCGGTGATGGGGGAAAGGAGCCGCTGTACTGGCCTTATGGCTTGTGTGGCTGGCGTCTGAGCACCCTTCCCGGTGATGGGGGAGAAGAGCCCCTGTACCGGCCTTCTGGCTTGAATCTGAGTACCCTTCCTGGTGATGGGGGAGAAGAGCCGCTGTACCGGCCTTATGGCTTGTGTGGCTGGAGTCTGAGTCCCCTTCCCGGTGATGGGGGAAAGGAGCCGCTGTACTGGCCTTATGGCTTGTGTGGCTGGCGTCTGAGCACCCTTCCCGGTGATGGGGGAGAAGAGCCCCTGTACCGGCCTTCTGGCTTGAATCTGAGTACCCTTCCTGGTGATGGGGGAGAAGAGCCGCTGTACCGGCCTTATGGCTTGTGTGGCTGGAGTCTGAGTCCCCTTCCCGGTGATGGGGGAAAGGAGCCGCTGTACTGGCCTTATGGCTTGTGTGGCTGGCGTCTGAGCACCCTTCCCGGTGATGGGGGAGAAGAGCCCCTGTACCGGCCTTCTGGCTTGAATCTGAGTACCCTTCCTGGTGATGGGGGAGAAGAGCCGCTGTACCGGCCTTATGGCTTGTGTGGCTGGAGTCTGAGTCCCCTTCCCGGTGATGGGGGAAAGGAGCCGCTGTACTGGCCTTATGGCTTGTGTGGCTGGCGTCTGAGCACCCTTCCCGGTGATGGGGGAGAAGAGCCCCTGTACCGGCCTTCTGGCTTGAATCTGAGTACCCTTCCTGGTGATGGGGGAGAAGAGCCGCTGTACCGGCCTTATGGCTTGTGTGGCTGGAGTCTGAGTCCCCTTCCCGGTGATGGGGGAAAGGAGCCGCTGTACTGGCCTTATGGCTTGTGTGGCTGGCGTCTGAGCACCCTTCCCGGTGATGGGGGAGAAGAGCCCCTGTACCGGCCTTCTGGCTTGAATCTGAGTACCCTTCCTGGTGATGGGGGAGAAGAGCCGCTGTACCGGCCTTATGGCTTGTGTGGCTGGAGTCTGAGTCCCCTTCCCGGTGATGGGGGAAAGGAGCCGCTGTACTGGCCTTATGGCTTGTGTGGCTGGCGTCTGAGCACCCTTCCCGGTGATGGGGGAGAAGAGCCCCTGTACCGGCCTTCTGGCTTGAATCTGAGTACCCTTCCTGGTGATGGGGGAGAAGAGCCGCTGTACCGGCCTTATGGCTTGTGTGGCTGGAGTCTGAGTCCCCTTCCCGGTGATGGGGGAAAGGAGCCGCTGTACTGGCCTTATGGCTTGTGTGGCTGGCGTCTGAGCACCCTTCCCGGTGATGGGGGAGAAGAGCCCCTGTACCGGCCTTCTGGCTTGAATCTGAGTACCCTTCCTGGTGATGGGGGAGAAGAGCCCCTGTACCGGCCTTCTGGCTTGAATCTGAGTACCCTTCCTGGTGATGGGGGTTCCTAAAAGGTTATGATAATGGAGAGAAAACCAAATGAGTGTCCACTCATGTAAGAGTGGGGGTTGGGAGTGCTCCTTGGTGCTGAGTTCTGACAGGGCCCGCTACCTCCTGATTTGGGTGTGGATGCACTGGACTGGCCATGCACTGGGAAGGCACTAAGCCCATGGTGTTAATTCCCCCTGGAGTGGTGACCAAGGGGTGCTCTGGTAGCACTGTGGGTTTAGGCCCACACTTATGTGAATGGTACTTTGGCATGACACCTCTTGGGCTAGGCCTTTTGGCTGAGACCAGGGGTCATTTTTATTCCTGGGCCGCAATGCCTAGCCTTTGTATTCTCATTGGCACTCTAAATTATTTTTCTCACTGTTTGTGCACCTTTGCACTTTTATTTCTGTTTTTCACTCCACAGGACGGAGGGTGCGGGTCTTCGGGCCTACCCGGGAGTCTGGAAGGAGGATGTGTGGCCCTTAGGTCCCCTCGGCCTTGTATTCGCTGGTCGGCTTCGGCTGGCCACGAGGCATTGGGTCCGCCTGCTTTTGGCCAGGTGGACATGATTGCATCCCGGGGGTTCAGGGATGGGCCCTGTCTCTTTGGGAGAGGGACCCTTTAGACAGCATCCCTTTTTGTGTGTGTTCACGTGCAGTTTTTTGTTCGCGCGTTCTGGTCATGGTGCGTAGTGCTAAGTATCCACTCTTGTGGGAGTAGTAAGCACTTGACTGGCCGAAGGGCCGGAAGCACCGGAGGCCAAGTACTGATTTCACGGTCGACTTTCTTTCTTTGGTGAACTCGTGCTCGACGCACCGCGGACTTCCAAAGAGAAAACATTGCAATGAATATACATATCGCTACTCTGAATATAGACAACCCATAATGCTTATCAAGTGTAAATATAGTCTCCCTAAGTCCGAATTATACCGGCTCTTGCCTGATCCCCGTTCCGGCTACTAGAATTGTCTGGCTGTGGAGTATTTGATATGATCTCTGGGTATGGAGTGGACACCACCGCTAGCTTGGGGAGAGTTCCTGGTAGTACTTATGAGCTCTGCATTGGTAGGTTCCTGAGGATTGGGGTCCACCTGACT